TCCAGTCTCAGAGACCTGCCATGAGCCACACCAGCCCATGTCTGGCCTCCCAGTAGCTCTCCCTGCGGCCCCTGAGTTGGAGCTGTGGCTTCAGGAGCCCCAGGCCTTGGCCAAGTGGAATGGTGTCTCCAGAGGCCCTGAGTCCCCTTCATCAGGAGTAGAGTCTTGGTCCTAGCCCAGAGAGGGACAGGGTCAAAGACTCTAGTTGGTCATTTCAGCTCTGGGAACCATAGAATGAAAATCCCAGGAATGACTTAATTCTATCTGAGCCACAAAGCCCAGTCCAGGCCTGTAGCAGAAGCTGGGCCCTGCAGGTGGCTGGAAGGAGCCAAGCCCTCCATAGCCTACATGGCAGGGTCAGGTCCATCAGCTTGAAGTCAGGGACCGCCATGCCCATTTCACAGATGGACCTGCAACCCAGAGCAGGGCAGGGCCCCTGCTCATCCTCACATACTCAAGAGGTGCTGGGCTAGCCACATGACTCCACGGGGGCCAGAATCAGGCACAGATCCAGTCTCTGAGATCCTCTCTGAAGGCTACTGGAGATGGACCATGCAAACCAGCCTCGCTTCCCCTCCCCTGATCACAGTCCCATTCCCTAGCTGCTCCTGGTGCCAGGTCAGCCTCTTCAGGGCCCACCCAGAGCACTATCCTAGTCTCTTCACTGTACGGGCCAGCTGTAGCCCATGAGAGACCTGTGGGTAAGGGGCCTGGGCAGCTTAGGTCTCCAGATGGAGGAGGGTTCCCCACTCCAGCCACCCCACCTCTCAGAGCAGAGGTATTCAAGGCAATCTATCACACACTGAAAAATTCCTCTAGCCCTGCCCATTGCCAAAGCCACTTCCCTTTTTAAACATGTGTTAAAGCAGCACCTCACTTCGGGCGCCGTAGTCTGAATTAGTTTCCTATCGCTGCAGTAACATATCACCACACATCAGGTGGCTGAAAACAACACAAACTTATCATCTGACGGTTCTGGAGGTCAGAAATCCAAAATTAGTTTTACTAGGTGAAAATCAAGGTATTGGCAGGATTCTAGTCTTTCTTGAGGCTCTAGGGGAGACTCCATTTCGTTGCCCTTGCCAGCGTCTGGTGGCTGTCTGCATTCCTTGGCTCCCAGCCCTTTTCTCCGGCTGTCTGGTGGGACCTCTGCTACCTTGCATCTCCTCTGACGGACAGTCTGGCCCCGCTCTTCTATGCACACTTGTTGATTACACTGAACCCATTTGAATAACCCAGGCTAATCTTTCCATCTCAAGATCCTTAACTTAATCACACCCACAAAGCTCCTTTTGCCATGTAAGGTAACCCATTCAGAGGGTTGGGGGGGATTTAGGACACAGGCATCTTTGGGGCCATTTTTCAATCTGCCACATGATGGGGAGGGTTGCTTTGCCAATGCCCAGCCCCTTCCAGCCCCATCCAGAGGGCTGATCCAGGATCAGGACTCTATTCATGACAGGGGATCAGGCCGCTATTCGGGCCAAGATACTGGCTGGGGGCTGGCTGGGGCCCAGAGCTCCAGGAAACCTGGCACCTGCCCCTGGGGCCGCCAAGGACAGCCTGTACTCCTGGCGCAGTGGCTGGGCACAGATCAGGTGCGCTCGAGCCCATTAGCGGCTGTGGCTCCCCCGGGACAGCTGTCTAGCTGGGGTGGGAGGCCGGGCCCTCATGTCTTCTCCCTACTAGCCGGAATATGCAAACGCTGCCGTCAGATCAGACGTGAGCCACACAGGAAGTCCCAGCTTCATTCTAGAAAACACATAGAGATGAGGGAGGTTTTCAAATGGATGGGGCAGAACGTCATTGGTATTGGCAGAAATGTGGGCTACGGGCTGGTGGGAGAACAGAGAGGTCAGGGTGGGTGTTCTGGAGGAGGCGGCATTTCTGTTGGAGCCTGAAGGAGGGGATCATTTGGACTAGTGGGGGCGGGCAAGGCACTCCTGATGAAAGGCACAGCTGGTGAAGGGAAGGAGTTGTGTTTAGGGGATTAAGAGTTCTGCGGGGGTGCTGCGGTCTGGGGCAGCAGACTAAAGAATCCAAACGTGGACAGGGAAGGACATGCTGGTCTGAAAACGTTAAAGCAGTTCTCCAAGGCTGTTCAGCAGTGGCCCCCACTGTTCTGATGGAAGCTTACTCAGAGCACTGACGGGGCCTTGAAAGGGTCTGCAGGGCCTTTCCCACAGCCATCCTCCCCCAACTCTTCAGACCTGGACTCCGCAGGACACGGCGACCACACTCAAGTCACGAGGAGACAGACAGCCAAGGGTTTAGGGCTGGGATTGGCAGCAGTTAATGGCCCAGGGCCCAGCTCCAGGCAGGTGGCGGGAAAGGGTTTGGGACACACATTTCAATAGAGTAGCTAGATGGGCCCCCATGGAGAAACCCATGGGCAGCTAGGACAAGCATCCAACTGTGAGGCAGAGCCTGTTTGCTCAACTGTCAGCAGAAGGGATGGAGCTGCTTTCCAAGAACATCAGTCAAGGACTCCTTTGCCCCTGCCATGCTTAGGGCTTGGCTGAAGGAGGCTGGGTGGGCAGTAGGCACGTCCCTCAAGACCTCAGGGGCCTGAAAAGCCTGTACTCTACCATCAGCTCTGTGACACATGCTAGAGGGGGCAATGCATCTCTTGCTCTGGCCCCAGGAAGGTGGGACAATATGGCAGGTAAGCCTGGCTTTCCCCAGGCAGAGCCATGGCCATTATGGCCTAGACCTCAGGGCATTCAAGCCCTGTGAGGAAGGACAGGAGGGGCCTGACAGTTTTCTGGGAATGGTTGTCTCCAAAAGTGGCTCCTGCTTCAGTGACCCCAGCTGTCCCTACACTGTTACTCTCCTCACAATGTTCTCTTAAGGTGTCATATCCACATGATGGCCAAGACCTTTCCTCAGTGATGGGTCTGAAGCCAGGAGGGTAAGACCATCAGGGAAGCCAGCACTGGCTGAGGAGTGGCCCAGGCTGTGGGACAAGGGGCAAAAGACTGCCGGGTCAGGGCACTTGCCCTGAGATGCTGCTCAAGACAGCAAGAGCAGAAGGGCACAGGCAGGAGGAAGAGGGCAATAGTGGTAAGGCCCGACACAGGCAGAGGTCTAAGAGCACAAGGGGCTCCGAAAGCCGGGAGCCTCACTCTGGCTGTGCCCTACAGCCCCCTCCCAGGCTCCTTCCAGCCAGCCATGACTAGGAGTCTCTGCTCCTCCTCAAAGGAGGCCATGCAGCTGGGGCTGGGATACAGGGCAGGATACAGGAGCCCTGGGAGCCACCATGTGGCCCCTGCTAAGGCACATGTGAGCCTCAGCCACAGTATGAGTGTGTGTGTGTGTGGGGGGGGTCAATCAATCCAGGGAGGACCCCAGCAGTATAGACCCCCAAAGACAGGGACCTAACTTCCCATCTCCACCTGGCTACCTCCCTGCATGGGATATCAGGGAGACCCGTCTTTTCCTGGGAAGGGCCTGCCAGAGAGCGAACCTTTGGATGCTGGCAACAGATGCCACCTGGCTGACACTCACACAAGGCTGCTACCTTGTGCTGCTCCTGGAAAGAGGACAGCCAGCTTCTTGCAGGGAAGGGAGCTGCCTGAGGTCCCGGTGGGGAGACAGCCCTAGAACCCAGCAGCCCGGCCCTAGCAGAGGAGGCCGCCCACTAGACCACATTGCCTCTGGCTGCTGCGCCGCCAGCTCAGGCCCTTGGAAGTGCTAGTGGTGTGAGCCAGTTCGGTCTGCCACATTCCTCTGGACACAACGTCATGCACGGTCACATTAGTACCTGCCAGCCTGGAGGTTTCCTGCTGCTACAGACAGGTAGGCTGGGCTTCTAGACCTCCTGGCAGCCACAGGTCTGCACAGACAAGAGCTGGGGTGGAGATCACAAGCGGGTGCCCACTTTTCCAGGCTTCTCACTCTCCCCAGCCCCAACCAGGGACAGAGGGGCTATCTGAAACTCCAACGCCAATTTGGAAGGAATGTTTTAGCCAGAAGCTACAAAAATAAAAAGTAAACATAAACCCTGCTCACTCCTCACTGACGCAAGCCTTCCGTTAAATCAGTGTGGACATGTGATACCAGAACAGCGCAGCCCCCACCTACTCCCCTCCAGCAAGCAGGCAACCAGCTCTAAGCTGAAGCTCAGATGACATTCCTGTGCTCAGAGCCTAGGCCCAGTCAGGGAAGTGTGTGGGAGCACACCCAGGGCAGTGGTGGGCTAGTCAAACCCCAGGAGTGAGCTGCTCGGTGCCAAGCCCCCTGGCATCCAAGAGCAGGAAGAGCACCCCTGTGCCTTTCTCCACACCATGCTCCCACACCCCCACTAGGTGGGAGACTCATGGCCAGACCTGCAGGAGGAGGCTCTTACCCCCAGCACTGCCTGGGAATGAGTGATCAGGCGACCCACAAATCACAGTAACAAAACATTAGATCACTACTTATTGGTCTCTCGACCTTTTATTAGCCCTATCTCCCAACATCCCCAAGGCAATTCCACCCACAGACACACTGAGTAACCTGCCCTTGGCCATACTGATGTGATGGAACCAGACCGGGAACTTGGATCTGCTCAGCTCTGGGCCAAATTATGGGTGCCCTGGTTCTCTGCCACCCCAGGAAGAACAACCTCACCCTCACTTCTACCTCCAAGTCTTCTAGAAATACAGAACATACAGAAATGTAGAATCACAGAACCATGAGAAATGTCGTAAGCGTCTGGGTTCTAGAAGGTACCATCACCTCCCTCCAAGTAGCATTCCAGGAAGAACGATCAGCCAGGCACTCTGGCAGGCAGGGGCCCTGCCCAGGCATCCACAGGGCAGCCACGCTGTGGCCCAGACCTCCGGATATGCAGGAACCGGGGCCTAAGGAAACAGGGGCAAGAGGCCAATTATTGCCTGGGTCCCAGAGGATGAGCAGAAAGTGGAAGCAGCACACTCTTCCTACAGCCAGAGCTGTGGATGGCCTGGGTAGAAAGACCAGTGTGGCAGTTAGGGTAGGGTGGGGTGGGGAGAGCTCACCTCCCACAGAAGTCCCTGCGCACAGCCACAAGATCAAGGGACAGGTCAGGCCGGCTCTGAAGCCAGCTGCCAACAAGCTCTGGGTGTCTTGGGTCCACTTCTAAGAAGATGCTCCTACATGGGAGAGAAATGGGTCAGCTTAACAGGCAGGGCTGGGACCTACACTTCTGCATTGCCTGGGCTGAGAGAGGTGGGGTAAGAATGTTACGGCAGGCCCAGTACACACTGGGACAGACCCAAGAGACCCGCCCTATCCATACCCAGAGTCCTTCAGGAGCCAAGGTGCCAGGGCCAAGATCTGGGTAATGATGTCCATGCCCTCCACCCCACCGTCCAGGGCTAGTGGGTCTTCATAGCTGAAGGGGAAACAGAAGGAGGTGAGAGACTCTGAAGAGTGTAGAAGAGCTGAGCAGGGCCCTCCACAAAGGGGCCATGTGGAACTTACACTCTCAGCTTCAGAAAACCTGAGGGCCCAGAAGAGGAGGCCCCCAGATGTCAGCTCTGGTCTCCTACCTCCTACAGGCAGCACCCCACCAGGCAGTGCTGGGCTGCTCAGTGAACCCCACTGACTGATTGCAGGGTATGAGGGTCTCCCCACAAGAAGGCTGCTCTTATGCTTGGTCTGGGGAGGCCTGGAGCTGACCCAGAACACTCCTGAGAACCTAAAAAAGAGGAATCAGCACCCTGACCCACATTACCGCTGCCTTGTCCAAGGACTCCTGGGCTACCCCTGGTTCTCAGCCCCTGTTTGAGAACAGGATGGCTCAGTGCAAAGCCTGGGGTACGGTCTTGGTCCCAGCTTTCATGCTAAGCCCCGCTTGACCTTGACCAGGCACCTTTCTTCTCCAAGCCTCAATCTTCTGTACAATGATCTACCCATCTGAGCACCTACTATGTACTCTAGATCACACCAGCTTTGTGAGTCTGCTAGGTCCTCTCCATGGCCCTGCAAAGGTCTACTACTCCCCTTTCAAAGCTCAGAAATGAGGCTCAGATATTATCCAGTGCTCTTCAGTGGGAAGGCAGAAGCTGAATCAAGCAGGTCTGTGGGCTCCAGAATGAGCCTCTCTTTCAACATTGCTGCCCCTTTCAGTCCCTTCTCCCTCCCTGTACCTCCCCAGGACAGTCACATCCCACTAGGCCCTCTTGGGCCCGGCCTCCCACCCTGCACCTGCGGATCTCAGGGGCCAGCTGCTCCATGTCCTGGTGGAAGATGTAGGGAGGGTTGCTGACGACCAGATCCACGGGACCCCAGGCCAGGAGGTGTGCCCAGCTCCCCTCTACAGTCAAAGGGAACACACAGCAGGGAATGGGTGGTAGCTCTACCTGCCACCATGTCCCTTGGGTAGCCCCCCCCCCCCAATCCACACCCTGGGCCCATCTCCGGACCTGATAACCCAGGCTTGCAAATTAGTTCCCAGGGCCCCCAGCCAGTAGACTGCTCAGGAGCGTGTATATTCTGAGATGGCAGCTCTTTCACCTAAAATATCCCTGCTGTCTCTTCCTGTCAAAAAACCTCCTCAAAAACCTCCCCCTTCAGGAAGCCCTCTCTGATTGCTTGCGCAAAGCAAGGGCCTATGTCTTCTGCAGCCCCACTGGTCCTGTTGTCCACTGCCTCCTAGCCAACATGGACTGAGTGTATGGAGAGCATAGCTGGTTTCCATCAGTCAATTCCTCACAACTCTGTTTCCTCTGCACCTGGTCCAGGTGCCATGTGCTACACCAGGTGTACCACACTCTAGGGAGGATGCATATAAGGCTCAAAGACCCTGTGGATACGTAACAGCCAGAATCAGAGCCAGAAGCCAAGGACACTCTGCAAAGGTGTGGCTGAGCCAGACCGTTCCTGGGCCAGACAAGGGAATAGTTAAAAACTCCTTAGTTACGGGGGTTTCAGAAAGTAAGAAAGACCCTATGGCCAGTCCCTGCATGGGTCAGGTCAGCCCGCGAGGCAACAGGGGCTTGCCTTGGTCTGAGAACCCACGTATGTGTGCATGTGTGTGTGCACGTGGGCATGTATAAATGAATGGTGGGGAAGCCCTCCTTCCATCTCTGCAGAGCGCCCATCTATCTAGCTGCACATGTGCCTATAGGGTCTCCACCCCAAGGAAGATCAGTAGGGAAGATACCTAAGGTTACATCGAGGGGGACGATCCGAATTCTGTCCAGCAACTGCAGCCTGGAGAGATGGGAAGTGGGGGTGAGTACAGGGGAGACTCCTACCTGTGGCTACCAGGACTATGAGAATTAACCCTTAAAGCACTGATAGATCTCTGGTACCCACTGTCCTTCGTAACCCTGTGGGAACCACGCCAGGCCACCCGGCCCCACCTTGCCTTTCTTCAGAGTGGAAAGCAGGTATCAGTGAGTATGATATCTAAACAGGGATTGAGATCATGCCCCAGAGCTGGACTTCCCCAACCCTGCCCCTTCGTCCCCCTGCCCACCTACCTCTGAGCATTCTCCTGGGTCAGGCAGATGGCAGCTTCTCCCTTATCCACCGCAATGACTCGGCTCTGCCCCAAGAACAAACGAAGGGTACGCAGGAGGCAAGGTGCCCAAAGAAGCCAAGCTTGGAGACCAGAACCCTCCTCCATCCCTCTACCAGAGAGAAAGGGAAATACCCAAAAGCTGCTCCCTCTTTGTAGCCAGGGTGTGGCCAGAGAGAAGGGGATGGGAATCAGAGGCTGTGACTGTGATGCGCTGGGGGCAGCCCCGTCCTCCCACATCTGGACATCTCCCTCAAGTGCTTCTAGCAGAGATGAGCGGGGGAGGGTCAATGGGAGGGACAATGAGTGGCAGTCCCAGTCCATTCAGGGTGGCACACTGGGATGCCAAGGGGACTCACCTGGGGAAGCTGACTCAGCAGGCTAAGGGCGATAGCTCCCGATCCACAGCCCACCTCCAGGATGAGGGGGCCACCTTGGGCTCCCACCGCACAGGGGCTCCGGGCCACCTCCTCCAGCACCCATTCAACCAGCTCCTATGAGACAGAGGGGTTGGAATCAGAGTTAGGGCCCCCCTGCCCCCCTGGGGGTCTTGGCACAGAAGCCCAACCATGGTTAGCCTCTGTGTGAAGGTGGGGCATGGGGGTCGGGGGTGGCTGAAGCCACCTTCATGTCAGGCCATGGGCAGGTCACTCTGCCTCTCCCTGCTTCAGATTCCCCATCTGTAAAAGTGAGCAGCTGACAATAACCAGCCTCGTCGGGGTGGCACATTCATGAAACCACAGAACCACATTCCTGAAACATGGATCCCATTCCCAGTACGTGGTAAGTGTTCAATAAACCCCAGCTTAGCCCTTCACAGACAGCCTCCCGTTCTGGGCTCATGGCAATACTAAGAACCATGCCTGATGGTCCCTGGCCACTTCCTCTGTGCTTGGCCCTGCTTCCAGAGCTTCCCTCCATTAATCTGTTGGATCCTCACAACCAGCCACTGAGGAAGCCAAGGCCCCTCCTGGAGCCCAACTTACAGCTCACGGTGGCTATTATCAGGAGCCAGAGTGTCCCCAGCTTCTCCACAGAGCTGAACTTAGGACGGTCCCAGGGAGGTTCCCAGGCCAAAAGGACAGGGAATTCCCTTCACAGGGGTGGGGCACAGTAGGGAGAACACAGTCCTCCCTGAGCCTCATATCTGAAGGAGCCACAGTATACACAGGGCATAGGTAAGTGGGCATGATGTGATGGAAGTGCCTGACTGCACCATACTTGGGGGCCGGGGGACATTTGTAGACAGTGTCAGTTTGGGAACAAAAGGCTTTCAAGTTTTGTCCACCATCTGCCACCTGCAGGGACTGTGCACGGAAGCCAACAGGGGGTAGAGGTAAGAGTGGAGGGCTGCTGCTGCCCAAAAGCCAACTCGCTCTAATGAGCAGTGGAGTGAGGGACAAAGTAGCCAGGCATGGAGCCAGGGAAGGGCAGTGTGCTTTCTTCTCAAAGGTAGGCCTTCGGAGAGTCACCCTAATTGCGACTCCTGGGATCCCAGGCATGGGCAGAGGGGTCAGCTTCCCTCATCTATAAAGAGGTCCACCCCCTCCAGAAAGGTTTCCTGACCCCCTGCCAGGCTCTCTCTCGTGGATCTCCTCACCATGAGTCTGAAGTCTAGGATGAGGTTTACCTCTCCCACGAGACTGAAGTCTCCATGATGGGAAGACCAGGGATCTAACCAATCACAGTATGTCCCAGAGGCAAGGCCTGATCCTCAGGTGGCCTCTTGGCTGCTTCCCAAGGGTTTGGCAAGCTCTCAGAGGTTGTGGGAAGCCACCCTCCTAGTCTCAGACCCCCCAACCAGGTCCCCCCAAATCTCCAAAGTCAACAGTCAGGCTCAGTGGCTCCAGATCGCTCAGACCCATTTTCCATAGAAGTTCCTCAGTGCTGAATCCCAAAAGGGATTTCATTCTTCCAGGTCCCCCAATCCCCAGAGCAGAGAGATCACCTGCCTCCAGGGCAGCAAGTTCAAAGCAGGCAGAACTTGGCCAGTGGGTCCAACCTTTTCTGTTCCTCCCCCCTGCTCCCTCCAGGCCTGTACCAGTCACAGCTGGAGACTGGAAGGGTGCCTGTGGCAATCTGGACCCTCAGCGTTGGGACTGACATAGAGCAAGCAGCCTAGGGCTAGGGCGGGGACTGTGGTCTCAGCGCTGAGGCCACTGAGGCCATGTACTGAGTGGTTGGTCAGATAGCTGGGACTTGTCAGGGCTGTGAGCCTCTCCTGGTTTCCTGGCCACAGACAGACCTACTCAGGTTGGAAATGACCTCTTGGCTAGCCTTCTCAGAAACACCCTTGACCTGAGAGACATATACCATATACATGAACAACACCCTGGTGATGTTGTGACGCTGACAGACTGGGCCCCCACCGCCACCCGTGCCCTCTAACCCCGCCGTTACAGTCCAGACTACTCGAGAATCCTCTTGGCTATGGGACCACCTGGGGTCTAAGAGTAGAGACCACCCATAAAAGTCCAGACACTCTCCTCCTCACCAAGTGAAGAGCCTCCAGCCTCCATCAGCCTGAAATCGGTGGCTCTTTAGGCAAGGGGGAAAGCCAAGTGGTCAGAGACCCCGGGCACCTCTTCCAGGTAAGTAAGGGAAGAATCCAAAAGTATGATGGGATGGGGATTGGGGGGGGGAATGTGGGAAACAGGCAGCTTTTGGCTCTGCCAGAGCCACTGTCTCAACAGGACCCCATACCCCCTCAAGAGGTCGGCCCAGGCCTCAGGAGGACCTGAGTGCTGCCAGCACCCTCCATTAGGATGCTCTGAGTGGGCAGCCCAAGAAAGGTGGCATTGCCTCCCTTGAGCCAATCACAGACAAGGTACTGAGCCTCCTACACCCCCCAAAGCCTCACCTCGCTAGGCTGGATAGGAATGGCTCACACTCCCAGCCTTGGCTTTCCCACCATACACACTGCCAGGCTGAGGACTGAGCCACCTTGCCACCCACAGGGAAAGCCCAACTCATTGGGCCACACGCCACCTACAGCTTCACATTTCTGACTTCTGCCCCCGTCATCAGAAATTGCCCTGCAATGGATGGAAAGAACACAGGCACCAAGATCTCTCCCCTGCCCCCATTCTCCCTACTCCCTGCCACAGGCCACGTCCTCTCAAGTTCTTGGTAAAGCACCCCCATGTGGCTTCACATTGGGGCAAACCTGGCAAGTTCTCAGAAACGTCTGTACAGTGAGATGAGGACCTAGCCTCCCAACCACAGCCTTCCCCTCTGTCTTCCCTCCCCCTCTTACAGCAGAGCTGCTCTCCTGGCCCAGACCCACACAGGAATGGTGGGGGAGGCCCCATATGGGAGCCGGAAGTCCACACCTGACATTCAGAATTCTGGAGCACATGGCTGATGCCGGGTCAGCTCTGAGGGGACTCAAAGGTCATCATGGTTGCCTCCTTCCCATGCCCTGATCCTTGGCAGCCTCAGGAGGCAGTAAGTGACCTCCCAGCCAAGGTCACAGGCTTGGGGAAGACACAGGGTAGCCTCCCAAGAGGCCACAGATGGCAGGCTACATCCTGCTCTCTGTCCCAGCTTGTCCAATCTCAGATGGTGTAGCCTCATGGGAGGTGTGCGGCCCCGACCCAGAGTCAGAAAGCCCAAAGGCTGCCCCCATGCTCCTCCCCTTGGCAGCCCTGTGACTTCAGGAAGTTCTCAGATTCCCTACTGTCCCTCCCAACATTGGGCTATAAGGCGAGGACCTGGCTTCTCAACCACATGATGGGGAAGTGAATGGGCCAGAGGGTTTCTCAGCTGGGGGAGAGAGGCTAAGAAGGTGAGGAGGGGCTCTGAGTCCCTGTTTGGGCAGGTAAATGAAGTCTCATCTTTCCCAAGAATGGTCGTATGCCTGAGTACCTTTTGAGAAACACCCCTCCTCAGAATTCGGTGCCCTCTAGCTTGTCCATCAGCCCCCACACAGTTCCATCCACCTGCTCTGCTCTCTCTCACTCTCTACAAGGTTAGGAGGAAGCCCAAGAAGGGCCACAGAAAGCCTCTCTCCCAGAATAGGTGTGCCTCACCCAGGGACAGCACGCTGGAGCCACACAATCCCTAGTCCTAAAAATTTGAGGGATCACAGGTAATTACCTGACCAGACAGTAGATCTAAGAGGACCCCCAATTCACAGATCTCCTCCCTAGTTTGGAGGCCCAACCCTCTTATCATCTGGGCCCAGAAAGGACACTGACTTGAGGTCACATAGATGTACCAGGCCTCTGAGTGTCCAGCTGAAACTCTATCCACTTCACCCATGCCTCCTGACAAGGAGGAGGGCATTTTATTCCCCCATGGATTGGGTAGGCTAGACCTGCATACTGGGGCAGTGGCCTGGGACATGAGGACAGTCAAGGAGGACAGGAGACCCCTGCACTCTTGGCCCCACCTACCCAGCCAACCAGGAGACACCAGTAAGGAAGAGCAAGAACTCTGAGAACCACAATCATGGGATCCCAGCGCCCCCTGGAGGAAGTCTGGGGCAAGACAGGTGCCCTAAACCCCGCCCTCATCTCCATCCTGCCCAGTCTTGGTGGCACACCTACCTCTGTTTCCGGGCGAGGGATGAACACTGGGGGGGCCATCTTCAGACAGAGCCCTTGAAAGTCCCACTCCCCGAGGATGTACTGCACAGGCATCCTGCAGAGGGGGCAGCTGGGTGATCAGTGACAGAGCCCAGACCAACAGGACCATGACTGGGTTGAGATACCATTGGGGAATACCAAAAATGTCAGGTAGGGTCATGCCTCCTGTGCCCCAGGACTCTGAGCCAAGCCAAGGCCTTCCCTCCCTCCTTTCTTCCTATCTACTCACGTGATCTCCCTCTCATCAAAACCTCATACCAACACCTCCCCAGTCCTTAGATACTTTCCTCCTTCCTGACCATGAGTTAATCAGGCTATTCCCCATATAGAGCCCTCAGGTCTGGCCCACCTGATGGCCCACCTGGTGCTCACCTTTGCAATCGGAGGCTACTCAGCTCCTGGACGCACTGTAGCTGCCAAGGGGTCAGGGGCTGGGTGCAAAATACTGGTCTCAGGCTCTGAAACTGCCCCACAGAGAATGTGAGTATCTGGCTCCTGATCTAGGGGCCTGACCCAGGTTTATGTGGACACTGTGGGCCCAACACTGGCCATCTCAGTCATACCTGATCCCCTAATGCCTGACACATACTATAATAGTTCATTAGATGAATAAATTATCTACCTAAGACATTCCTTCAGAAAATTCCCATCACTCTCAGCTCAGCACTCTCTGTGGGGCAGATAAGCGTGGCTGTTATTCCCCACGGTCCTCCCTCCCCGATCTTCTCCCCTCTTGACAACACTGCACTTAACTGTTTTGGCTCCAAGGACATGAGCCACGATGTACTCACTGGATGCCTGGGCCTCAGGGATGCCCCTCTTCTCAAAGATAGCAGTCCACTGGCTGACCAGCTCTGTGGCATTCAACGACCCAGCTAGAGGCAGATGGGGTTGCCATGAGCTGAAGGGCCAGCCCCTGGTGCCTCCTCTCCTCCCGGGGCCAGAAAGAAAGGCCCAGAGAATTCGGCCCCCAAGCTCCATTCTCTGGGAAAGACTCTCCTCAGAGTTCCCAGGTCCCTTAATCTTCCTCGTGATGTCAGCTGCTAAAGACGAGCACTGGCTCCAACCAGGTGGAGATGGTCACGGGCTCTGGCTCCTCAAGGTGGCTCTGGTCCCGATGTGACTGCCACCTTGGGAGAGGAAGGAGAACCAGGAGAGCAGCTGAGCATTGTGTGACCCACTCCCCTCTGACCTGCTGCCTGAGAGAGGATATGCTCTTGCTCTGCTACCTCCTTAACTCCATTTTAGACCCTCGCCCACCTTTTTGATTCTTCTTGTCTTGACCAGTTATGTTTTCTTCATGTTTTTAGCTGAAGTGGGCTGAATGCAAAGCTCAGTCCCTGGCGATGTTTCTGGGCCCAGGCTTGAGGGCTGAACAGATCTGTTCCATCTTAGCGTGTGTGACCTTGGAAAAAATCATCATTTCTAAGTTCCAGTGTCCTCCTCCATGAAATGGGGAAAATAACACCAACTCCACAGCAAGCAGTACATTAGACAATGCATATCAAGTGCCTGGGAGTCAGCTCAACACACAGAAGGGTCTCTGTGTTACATGATCTTAACTAACATTACAAGTCAGAGGAGGCTGCCTTTGCTTGGGGGCTTTGCTTTTGACAAGCTGTGACTGATCTGTATGCTAAAACTCTTCCTCCCCACCCCCATTTGACCTCATAATCCTAAAGGTCAGCATAAATTGCCCGGTAAAAAACAAAACAAACAAAAAAAACTGACAATTTTTGTTAACTTTATATTTAAGTTGTCACAAACAAGGTTTAACAGAAGGTTTAAAGTAGTGGTTCCCTTTCCCTTCGCACAGACCAAGGTCCAAACCAGCATGTACTGAGCACCGGCTAGGTGTCACATCTTCAAAGACAAGCTGGGAGGGAAAGGAAGCTCCAAGAGGGAAAGCGACTTGCCTAAAATCACCTAGCTAGACCTGTCCCAGGCAGGACACAAACCCAGGTCCTCCGGACTCCAGAGGCGGCTCTGTCCACAAACCAGGGACGCAGCTTCCCACTCAGCTCTGCAAAGCATCGTTAATGCCCCATGCGAGGTCGCCTCTCCCCAAGCCCGTTTCCTCATCTACATAACGCGGGGGGGAGGGGGCGGAGGTCTCGAGAGGGCCAGGAGACCCCCTCCCGGTTCCCATTTCTCCTCATACCAGCTTGAAGAGTCACCCTGCCCGCCCGCCGAACTGCAGACACCACCCGGGCTCGGCTTCCGGATATGCGTGACCCGCGGTGCTCTCCCTCCGACGCCCTGCTTCCGGGGTCGGCGCGTCCGAGAAAGGGCTCGGGCGGACCGCTCCCACACCCAGTTCCAGGGTTCCTAGAGCTCCTGGGTTCCACTCGGGAAGAGCCTGCGGGCTTCCCAGCCGGCTGCTGAATAGGCTGGGAAAGCCGAGCTGGTTACGCCCGCAGCCCCACGGGCGGGAGAATGCGTGGATGTGTGGGAGGTTGTTCCCTGGGAGCCAGGACCCTCGATTCTTCCTGAAGGTCACGGAAGGGACATGGCTCCAGCCCTCGACGACTACTCGGAGCTGGCTTTTGGGTGCCCGGCCGCAGCGGTGTGTTGTCAGTCTGAGCGGGGGCGTGTCACCAACCGGCTTGAGGGTTGAGAATTGGGGCGCGAGATCCAGGGGCGTGGTCTAGCGTAGCCTCTGGGCAGGCCAAGCAGCACGTGGACGGATCCCAGTGTTGGGGCGGGTAGCAATTTGGGGGAGGCACCCGGTGTCCGGGGCTTGGCCGAGGAAGTGGCCTGAGCCGCGATGGGGGCCAGGTAGTCACCGGACCCCAGGGCCGCTCTTGACCCTTTTGCTCCCGGGTTTTAGGGTTTAGAGCAGGGGGCTCGAAACTGGACACAGGAGAACTGGGTTCGAATTTGACTATTGCCAGATCACTCTGTGGGCCTCAGTTGCTCCTCGTACAAAATTCGTAGCAGTGTCCCACAAAGTGTGGCCTGTCGATGCCCTCCCTCACCAGAATCTACTGTTAACTAATAATTAGCTATGCAGTTTCCTGGACTCAGTCCCAGACTTGGTCCCATACCGGGGGAGTCACGGGGGATCTGCGTTTGTAACCAAAGCTTCTGGGGTGATCCCCGTAAATTCCTTTGAAAACCCTAGGATTAGAAGGTATCTGACGGTATCCCCTGAGATGATCATGCCGTAGCCGGAGGCTGTTGTGAGGGGTATATGTAGTCTTGCCTTTGTCAGGCTGCCCAATAATAACAGCTCTCCAATAATAATACCAACAGCTCCCAACTTCTCTGGACTGAGCTACCCCATTTCAAGCCCAGAGTGGGTGTAGTTCACCAAGAGCCCTCTCAGTAGAGCCCATCTGAACAGGAAGCCGAGCCCCAGGGAGAGGAACATCTCGCTCTAGGTCACAAAGCAGTAAAGGGGCGAGCCAGAGTTCAACGCAAGTCCAAAGACTCCCAATCCAGTGCTCTCCTGGAGCTTCCAGCGTCCGCCTGCATTTTGGGAGAACGAATCTATATCCGCGGAGGTGGAGCTCCCCCCGAGTTCTGGTGCAGGAAGGGCTTGGCCACCCACGGCCCTCTACCCGACTTCGGCGTAGGCCACGGGTAGTGAGGGGTGGTCTTCAAGAACCGAGACCCTGTGTCCGGCTCCTGCTGGGGGCGGAGCCAGATCCAGCGACAGGCGAGCGGGCCAGTGCCGGGCAGGCTGTGGGCCTGACAGCCAATCGGGAGCCGGGGGCGCGGGGAGCGGGCAGGGAGGCGAGGCACTGGAGCGTGGGGGACCCGCGGGGCTACTCGCCTCCGCCCCACCCCTGCGGTGGGTCCAGGCCCTGCCTGTCCCGGCCCCTGCTGCCTGAGCCGGCGCTCGCGGCTGCAGGCGGTAAACTGTAGCGGGCCCAGCCCGCGGCTCCGGGCGCCCTCGGAGGGCGGACCTGGGGTCGGACCCGCTGCCCCCCGCCCTGGCCTCCTGCCGATCGCCACCACCCTTAGCCTCTCCGGCTGAGCTCGGCGCCCCAGAGAGGATTAAGTAAGTGCTGAGGTCGCAGCTTCTGTGCAAGAATGGAGGAATCACCGAGTCGCAGAGGCGGGGATGGGGGTTGGAGCAGGGAGGACTGAGGAACCTGGCAGAGAACGGTATGCGGGTTCTCCGGAGGTCGCGGTGCCAACCCATCTCACCCGTTTCCTTCTCTTGCCCTTTGGACTCTCTGGCAGTCCCAGGCAATGATGAGCAGGGCCTTTTCTCTGCTTTGGACCGAGGAGTAAACAGAGCCCAGAGCAAGAGTTAAGGGTCTGGTCCAAGGTCATGTCTGGGGTCAGAGGCAGAGCCACGGAAGAACCTGGGACTGCTGACGCCTTCATCCTAGCTAGGGAGAGAGAGGGCAGAGAAGGATGAGCCCCTATATCCCTCTGCCAACCTTGCCCCTTCCTAAGGAGCCATCAGTGTGTACACGCCTCACACACACCCATGCACCTGCATGGGGAGATACCCCACATAACATCCATTGGCTAGCACAGGGATGTATGTGTGCAGCCATGAGCCGTGTCCCCCCCTCTCCCTAGGCCCGGTCTTCTGCAGTGTCTCTGGGACCCCTTCCCACCTTGCCTTACTCAGGGCCTCTGGCCTGGGAAGGGGTAAGCCACACCCTGGTCTGGGCGCATCTCTCACTCTCCATTCGCAAGGGAGGAGGGAGGAGAGGAGAAGCAACTCAGAATGGGAGCTCCATCACTGCTTCTGAGTATATGCTTCCTGCTTACCTTGTTTTTCCTTGTCCCTGCCAGCCCCTAGCTCTCCTGTGGGGGTCCAGTGACCCTAAGAGCCTGCAGAGAAGCCCTGGGCCTGACATTAGGCTCTCTCCCCTTTCTGCCTTCTGGTCTCTCTACACCTGTCATCCACCCCCGCCCCCCCCCACCCGCTGCAAACACAGCCTGGATCACACAGTGGGCTAGGTCGAGGGGTTCCTATGGCTCCCCCTTTCCCAAGTGGGTTGGCTGGGGGAAAAGTCGATGTACTGGGTGCTTACTGTGGGTAGGGTTTACACTGAGCTAAGGCTTTTCTAAGAACTACTTCATTCTGACATTCCAGTGACTTTATGACCCTGTGAGGCTGTGAAGGAGGGGGGGTATTTTTTGTTTTTTGTTTGTTTTTAATCTTGATCTTAGATTCAGAAGAACTGAGATCCAAAGAGGTGGAGTGACGTGCCAAGGGTCATCTGACTCTTGGGCCAGTGTATCCCTCCAGGAAAGGAAAAAGCTACAGTATTTTTTTGCCCTCCAAGCAGGAGGTGAGGGTTGTGGGGGGCAGGGGGTGAGGAGGTGGGAAATGCAGGGAGTAGGGGTGTAAGGGTGGGTATTATGCAGGGGAGAGACTTCTTTCAAACTTCCCAACTACCTTGCATATCTTCCAAGTATGATCACTATAATTATTATACCCTCAAAGAAGGGACATCTTCACATGGGAACTGAACTTAAGTAAAGCATATGTCCTAATGTCCCCTGAACTTGCCCTTGCCCTCAAATTTTTATTTTATTTATTTTATTTCCCTGGTACCTTCAGGTACTTGATGTCACCACTGATTTGTGTCCCAAGCCTCATGTTTTCATTCCTTCTCTTCCAGCACACAGGGCACCAGGGAGCTCCCTTTCTCCCTGGAGGTGGCAACCAGAAAGTATAGCAGGGGCCACGGGCTGGGACACTGCTGATGTCAGGAGCAAGTTTGCAGGCCGAGTGACCACAGGCAACCTCTCAGCCAGGGCCCTCTCACCATCGGCATGGACTCCAGGATTCCGCCTGCCGGGGGCTGGCTCAGCAGCCGCCCACCCACGTCGGAGCCTGACCTGGAGCCTGCCCCAGAGGGGCCAGCCTCCGAGACCACCACTCTCAGTACAGAAGCCACCAACTTTAATGACACCAGAATCCCTGATGTGGCTGGTGGCACAGCTGGTGTGGGCACCATGCTTCTGTCCTTTGGGATCATCACAGTGATTGGCCTGGCTGTGGCCGTGGTAAGAGCTGGGAGGCTGGGGCTGACCTAGGTGGCTGTCATTTGAACGAGGGCGGGGGATGGGGGTGTCAGTGTTTTGATTTTAGGGCCTCTAATCAGAAGATAACTGTCTGTTAATGATACCACAGTCTCCCTCTTCTTCTGGGGGCCCAGAGACCACAGGGGCTGCCTCCAACTGGAAAAACCAGAGAGGGTTCTGAGGACGCCTGGCGTCTTGAGCTGGGCTGTGAGGACCACGGAGGACTTGGGGAAGAGGGTGTTCAGGTGGAAGGTCCTGATAGGCAAAAGTCTGGAGGCAGGCAGGAGGGTCTGTGAGCAGCAAGCAGGACAGGGAGGCGGGGGGCGGGGCGGGAATAGGAGTAGAGGCCTAAGGCCAGACCAGACCAAGGTGTGGGTAGGCATGGCAGGCTGCTGGTGGCCTTCATTCACTTGGCAGGTATTTCCTAGGCCCCTGCCCTGGACCGAGCCTTCAGGTCCCCAGGGACTAGGGAGACCAAGGCCTGCCGGGTGGTTCTTATGGGACTAAGAGACAGATAAAACCAATGATGACAAGGGAAACCCAGGGGGACTGAGTTGGGGGATTGGGCAGGAGGAATCTCTGGGCTGCGTGGTCAGCAACAGACTGAAGAGGCAACATTAGAGCTGAGACCCCGAAGTGGAGGCCTGGCCCCAGTACCACAGGAAGGGACAGACTGGTGCAGACGTCAGGATGGAGGTGGACTGGGCTGAAGACTGAAGGTGTTCCCTGATAAGGGATATGATGTTTCCAGATCTGGTGTCTGTCCCCGCAGATATGGGCCCTGCCTCTAATCTGCCACACAGACACTCAGAATGTCACTGACGGACTGGTGGAGATGGTGCTAGCTAAGACCAGGAAGAGGGGAGGTGCACCTGAGCTCCCCCAGGGGCCTGACAATGGTGGCATCCCAGCCACCGCCCCTCACAGGCTCTGATGGCCGGCCTTAGGCTCAGGACCGAATTGCTCTGGCCAATAGGGCTGCGGATGGTCCATCCGTGATCTGGCTGGAGCTGCTTTTCAACCAAGGTTGCCATATGGGCCCTGTGGGCTCCGGATCACTGCCAGGGAACAAGGGATGGCCGGCAAGCAGGCCAGGATGCAGCACACAGCACGAGTGGCCTCCCGGGGCGGGGGCGAGGCGGAGTACCAGTACTTCCCCTCAACACTCATGTGGCAGTGAAGCAAACCAAAACAGCCTTGGGGAAAAAGTGGGATCTGAAATCTGCCCTTGGAACTCTAGGCCAAAGATTGTGTCCCAGGAACTTGGAGGGCCTCCCTGATGCTTCCTTTTGGAGGAACATTCAGAGGCCAGGGTGGAGGGTCTTCTTAGCCAAACCAGAGAAGTAGGAAGATTATGCGGCAAAGGCAGTGGAGGGCAGGAAACAGCTCCTGGGCATTAGGGGACAGGTCCAGAGGTGCTCCCTGAGGGCTGCCCCATCTCCCACTGTGCCAGCTGCCAGCAGGGCCAGGCTGGGTACCAGGAGGAGCAAATCAGTGCCAGGCTGTGTGCCTCATATAGACTGAGTGGTATGGGCGGGCTTCCTGGTGGAGTTAGGACTGCAGCTAGATGGTGAGGCGTGGGGTAGGTTTGGAAAGGAAGGTATGTGGGAGGGTGATGTTGGTAGCTGGGGCAGAGGGAGCAGCAGGGGGAAGGCTGGAGATTGGATAAAGGCTCTGGCCTCTTGTGAAGACCCCTCTGTAGGACAGGACCACAGGGCTGGGAGGAGGGCTTGGGGCCGGGCCAGAGCAGAGGAAGTGGAGGGAGTCCAGGTGCTGGGGCTAGAGCCACTAGTTCAGGGCAGGTAGGGCCTGGGGTCTGAGACCCAGAACTCCTCCAGCATCCTGCCCACAGGACAGCAAGGGTGTCCTCCACATGTGACCTCCTGGAGGGGATGGAGAGCAAGGGACTCTTTGGGTTCTTTTCGGGCCTTTGGGGTTTCCCAGGAAACAAGCAGCAGGAGGAACTCTGGGCCAGGCTGGAAACCAAACAAGATTCAAGCTGTGAATGAGGCATAAAGGGTGTAAGAGCCACAGAAGGTTAGGGACAGAGTCTAGGGACACAGCTCTCCCCCAGGCAGAAGTGGTCATGCTGCCGTTGGTCAGAGATGACCAGTTTAAGCAACAGCCATATGATGGTGGAGTCCCTGGTGTCCCTGCCCTGGTGGTCAGCCCCTTCTTCCTCCCTCTCAGCGCTTAGTACAGGGCTGTCCTGCTCCATCCTGGAGCTCTTGGATCTTGTGTTTCCTCAGGCTGCCTAGGCCTTTATCTTCAAATCTTTACAATGGGGGTTAGGACCCAGGGGCCTTCCTACCTTCCTCCAGCATCTGGGTTCTGGCATTTAGTCTGGGCTTCTGTCCAGGAGACTCAAGCTCTCCTCCCCACCCCATCCACTGAAGGCTATCAGCCTCCCATAGATACCCCAAAAGCCCAGCCCAGAGTCTTGCCTTGAGCACTGCCCTATAGAGTCTAGCCACTACCTGTCCCCTATTCTCTTTCCCCATACATGGCTCTGAGCCTGGCGGGGGGGGGGGGCATTGAAAGGAAGGGGGGTTGCTAAACTCTTCCCCTCCCCCTTGAAGAGTCCAGGGCAGGTGCTGAGTGGCTGGAGCTGTGGTCTGTAGTGGCAGAGAAAGCACGAGCCTGCTCTCCACTTCATAGCCCACGCACCGTGGGCATCTGACACGCATCGAAAGGAGGAGCAAATGCAGGATGTGTATGTCCCTGGGAGGGAATCCTGGAGGACTTGGAGACCCATGGTTCTCCTGTTCATCGGCCTCAGCTTGTCCCTTGTCCCAAGGAACTGCCAGTTAATCAGGGGCTCCTCGCCCGGCCACCTGACACTGCTCCTTCTCTTGCAGGTTTTGTACATCAGAAAGAAGAAGAGGTAACTCCCCAGTTACCATGTGGGGCTGGACCCTGGGGTAGGGGGTGGGAAGAGAGACCCCCACCACTATCAGGGCCCCTCTCCCTTGTCCAGGAGCCAGGTCCTTTCCTGCCCACTGAAGGCTGGGGATGATGACTTGGCCTCTGGGAACACCAAGTCACCCATGCCCCACTGCCCCCAGCTCCAGGTCACTGACTCCCCTGCCCTGCCCAGTGTCCAGAGGCTGTGGCTTACACAAGGGCCTGGCCTAGGCAGTCCCCATGGACCCCACAGGTGACGCCTCTCTGGGCCACGGCCCCATCTGGTCCCAGGAGTGAATAACCATCCATCTGACGGGTAGAGATGGTATCCACCATCTTGGACCAAGTTCCAAAAATGCAAAAAATGGCTTTTCGCTTAATCCCAGGGGAAATCCGAACGCCCCACCCCCACCCCCAATGTAGCTGTGTGCTCAGGCTTAGGCGCTCAGCAGGCAGGGCCTAGAGGGCTGGCAGGAGGGGAAGTGCCTGCCATGCCCCCAGCAGCCTCTGCCCCCACCCGCAGGCTGGAGAAGCTCCGCCACCAGCTCATGCCCATGTACAACTTCGACCCCACGGAGGAGCAGGATGAACTGGAGCAGGAGCTGCTGGAGCACGGGCGGGACGCTGCCTCCGTGCAGGCCGCTGCCTCTGCACAGGCCGCACAGGGCAAGGTGGGCACTCCAGTCTCCCCCGGCCAGCCAGCCTGCTGGCTGCGCGTGACTCTGCCACCCCCGCCCTCCCTCCCTCCTCATGCAGCTTTCCAGCACCTGCCATGTGGTCAGGTGGCAGCTAGCCGGTATATGGTTTTGTCAAGTTTGTTTAGAAACTGGTAGGATTTCTCCGTGGCCACCCACACACTGACTGCACAAGGCCAGGGCAGCCCTGGGAGCCAGCCCAGTTCTGCCCGTGCCAGCCTAGTGACCTTGGTAGCCCCCTTGGCCTCTCTGAGCCCCTGCTTTCTCATCCACAAATGAAAATCCCAATTCTTGCCCTGTGTGCCCCCATATTTGGGCTAGGAAAGCAGGAGAGGACTGATGGGAGAGATTACTGTGGGCTAAGAGCCTGGTGCCTTTGCCCCCCTGAGGGGCCGTGTTTCCTGAGTGGGTTGTGGGGGTCAGATCCTGCAAGAGGGACACCTCTGAGTAGCCTAGTGGGTCCTAGTAACAGGCAGACCCCAGGTGGATGGCGACCCCAACCAGACTTGCCTCTTAACATCCAAAGGGTTGGATACTTGCATGATCACCCAGCCAGAGCCACTGGCTGATTGCTACCAGTCCCCCCCAAATCTCCGAGGGCACCGTGAGGAGGCCTGGCCTCTCCTTGACCCATGAAACCCCTTTGCATTTCTCCTTGCCTTGACCCCACAGCTTTGTGGGGGCATCTGGCCCTGTCAGAGGCAGAACGCGGGGAATGGACTCAAGAAGAGTCCACACTGGGGCTCCAGAGAACCCCTGGTTTTGCTGCCAGTTCTATGGCCGCTGATTGGGACACATTCCCCATTTGGGGTATTTGAGATATAGGGCTGAAAACCTTGGTCCACCCAGCCCGTGGGACAACTGACAATTTGACAGGTGTTTCCTGGGTACCTCCCTTGGGCCAGCCATGGTGCTAGGGCTGGGAGGGGTGCAGAGGTGAGCCCCCTTCTGCTGGGAGAGAGGAGTGCATGCATAATTCATCCAGCCTCTAGGCCCTCAGAGTAAGTGCCTGCTGGCAAGCTGGTGATGGCTGGGGGGCGGGGGAGGAGTCATCTGAGCCAGATGGTATTTCCACACTGAACTTGCAAGGAGAGCATTCCAAGCAGAAGGCATAGTTGTGCAAAGCACAAACAGGCAAACCAGGAAGCAAGGGTAGAAGTAACCGGACCAGAGAGTACATGGCCTTGGTCGAGGTCCTAAATGCCCTTGACTGTCTCTCTGCAGACCACGCTCCCCTCTCAGGGCCCACTGCAGAGGCCCAGCCGGCTGGTGTTCACTGACGTAGCCAATGCCATCCATGCGTGAGTGGCCCGAGGACCAGCCTGGATCTCTGATGAAGACATCTGCTATCGTGCCCCTCGAGCTGCCTGCTCCATGATTGTTAAGACCCACTCTCAGGACCTGCCCTGCTGAGGCCCAGCTGTTCCAAGGACCCACCTGCTGGCTCTCCAGGCTCTTAGAGAGGGCCCTGGCTAGGCTGGACATCTGGCTACTGAGGTCTCCCGATCTGAGGGCTCTGGCAAAGGGGACAGCCCTCCTGTCAGGAAGGTTGAGAGCCACTGCTGGCTTGCTTGTGTCCTGCCCAGACCCCTCACCCCATGGTCTGCTCCTCTAATGTGGAGGATGTGGGGGGAGACATGGGATAGGAGGGGAGGTGGAGGAGAGTAGGGAGGGGCTCCCCTTTGTCAGGGAGAGACCTGTCTTTGGAATCCGCAGCGTCTTCTAGAATAGGGAGGGGCAATCAACCAGGTCTTGGGGACAGGGTGTGGTGACACCCAGGGAGAAGCCTAGGGATGAACCAGTACTGCCTGGTGGGACCAGGAAGAGGACTGCTCCTACCCAACCCATCTTTATTTTGGATGTTCAGGAGGCCTCCCAGCCACTCTCCCTGGCAGCCAGCTATTGGCTGGGAAAGGGTGGGGGAGGCCGGGGAGTAGGTGTAGAGGGCCCTGAGAGGGTCCAGGAATGTGTTCACATGCAGGCGTATGTCTGTCCTGCACAGGGTAGGAGGGAGACCCTCTGTATTGGCTCCACCATCCAAGTCCACCCCACCCCTTTCTGTGTGCGGGAGCACAGGATAGGCCACTCTCTCTGCCTTCAGCGTTCAGGGACTGAAAAGAGAGGGAAGCCAAGGTGAAGGTCGTGCTGCCCACCGCATCTCTTCACTGGGCTCTACAAACCAGGTAACCTGCTTCTGAAAACGATTCCCTGTCCTGGTGTATATTGGGGATCTAGGGTTGTGGGAGAGGCTACTAGACTGAGGGCAGTGGTTCCAGGCTGTGGGCTATCTGGGAACATTCTGACTGCCTGAAACAGGGTGGGGATAGCCCCACAGAGAACAGTTTTCCTGGTTTTTGATAGCACAGCCCACCCGCCCGACACCCCTCAGGAATTCTTCAACCAGTTTGGGGCATCTAGGCAAGGCATGGGACCAAGCCAGACCCCAGAAGCTGGGCGATCTTCTCCACGGCACGCATGCACACACGAGCATGCAGAAAAGCATGCCCACCCCCTACCCCAGTGCCCAGCTTCGCCACCACCGCTGTCCCCACTGATTGGAAGGGCACGTGGGGGAAGCAGCACAGACCTTCTGTTGGGCAAATACCACATGTCAGGAGGGGAGGGCCAAGGAGACCCATGCGGGGAAGATTTGGGATGTATTCCCTCCTCTTGGTGCTATAAATACATTAGCACTTGAACCAACTGGAGGGCTGTGGGTGATCTCGGGTGCACAGACGCTGTAAGGGAACTCGGCACCTCCATGTGAGAGCATTAAAGATGTCATTAAGATGTTTACACAAAGAGAGTGTGAGCCTGTGACGCTTGGGGTGTGAAACCCCAGGAGGGACAGGATTGTTTAGGGGCTGTGGGGGGCCTGGAAACAACCCTGCTGGTTTTCCTTGATCTGTCTGATGAAATGCCTCTGGCCCCGAGTTTGGGCTCCTCTGGGGCCTCGTGTCTCAACTGTGGAATTGCTTCGTGTCTCAAATGTGGGGTCACAATGCCTGCCGTCCCCTGGGGTGGAGAGACCACGTGGACAGGACCTAGTGGGGCCTGATGAAGGAGGGGGCTTGAGCCCCAAGGTCCAGGGGAAGGTGGAGTGCTTCACTGTCCATAGGAACTGGGTCTGGAAGACAAAAGGGAACAAAATAATGGGGTCTTTCCTGGAGCACAAGGGAGCAGGGGCTGGGTAGGAGCAGGAATCGTTAAAGGTTATTTGTATGGAAACCACCGACAGGGTTCAGAAGGGTTTGGGGAGAATGACCAGGGTGACCAACTGTCCTGGTTCTCCCAGGACTGCCCAGTTTCTAGCACGGGAAATTCCACAAACCAGGACTCTAAGTGACATCCAGATTCTCCCCTAAAAAGCTGAGCCTTCAGGCTAGCATAGGAAACAAGGACGGGGTGAGCACCCCAGTTCCATGGAGGAGGGCTGGGCTGGAAACCAGGCTGTGGCACAGGGCCTTTGGTAAAGGTGAGGCCCCAAAGCCTCCATGGGCCATGCACACTGGGTCAGACAGCTGGGCATGTCAGTGATGACCCTGGGCTTGCAGAGGGAGTTCCCTCCCCCAGCCGACTAACAGAAGGTTCCCTAAGAACCATGGGGCAAGAGGGGAAGGGGTGTGTGGGCTCTATGCTCCCATCTTGTTGAGTAACCCCTCAATCCAAGAATGTAGGAGCTACAGAAGACCCAGAGGGACCCTAAAAACATGGGGCCTGCAGAGTAAGGCCAACACCTAGGGACTAGGGCCAATGTGGAGGCTCCAGAAGGACCCCGTCCCCATTCTCTCCTCATGCTCCTTTCCCATGGGTAGGCCTAGCTAGGTGGTGGACAGGGCAACTTTTTGTAGGTGACAGGGCCACTGCCTCACCCTTGTCCCCTCACAGACCCCCTCCTCTTCCCTCCTCCGCACCTTCTCCTTGCTAGCTCTCTTTCCCAGCCCCGGAGAAGAACCAAATTCCCCGTCAGTTTCCAGGTCTCCCACAGAGCATGGGATCAATTGTTATCAGGGTGAAAGGATCCGGTTGACATGTCCTTGTGACCGTGGGCCTGGCAGGGTGACCAGAACATCCCTCACTGCCCTCAGCCAGGCAGACATGGTAAGACAGTCACCTGCCTGCCCTTACTGCTCCTGAAATCGGCTGCTAACGGAGGCCCTTGGGAAACACCCCCGAGGGACACACACACATCCATCATCGAAATCCCTATTCATGACTAGCAACCTGGGCTTCGGGGCAGAAGCGACACCAGCTTGCAGTGGGGGCTGTCAGGGTAGACATGGATGGGCGCCTTCAGAGGAAGCCATCTTGTTTAATGAAGTGAAGTGTCAACTTCCAGCCAAAGCGAATACAGTAATCCCGTTGCCTGGCTGCTGGCAGATGCCAGGGACGCCTACGGAATGTAAAGGAAAGCTCTCGTGGAGGCGGCCCAGAAACTCCAGTAGAGCAGTCTGACCTTGTAGTGGATTCCTTCCAGAAACATTACTGAGCCCAACTCTGTGGTCCTGTCAGTGAACCAGCTCTGTTGGTTGGTGTCTGCATCTCTGTTTGAGACGGAAGGAGGCAGGTGTCAAAGAGGAAAGAAGGATGAATGTGTGAGTGTGTGATGTGTGTATATACACACACTGTATGTCTGTGACTTTATAGCTACATCTTTATGCAAAAAAAGACAGGGACAGGGGCACCTGGGTGCCTCAGTCGTTAAGCGTCTGCCTTCGGCTCAGGTCATAATCCCAGGGTCCTGGGATCGAGCCCCATGTCGGGCTCCCTGCTCGGTGGAAAGCCTGCTTCTTCCTCTCCCTCTGCAGCTCCCCCTGCTTGTGTTCCCTCTCTCGCTATGTCTCTCTCTGTCAAATAAATAAATAAAAATCTTTAAAAATAAAAAACAAAACAAAACAAAAGAAGATAGGGACAAGGTCCAGGTGTGCCTGGGGTACAGTCAGAGCCCGAGGCCAGATGAATCCAGCCCATCCTGTCCAGTATCACCCCTCAGCAGTCTTCAATGTGGAGGGTCTTGGCTGAGGGTATTCCAGGGAACCCCAGGAGCTGCTGGGCTGGCATCCCACCTGCCCCTGGGTCCTCCCTGAGCACCTCTGTTGCCCCCACCTCAAAGCCCCTTTGGCAATGGCCTCCACCCCCACTCATCACCCTGGTCACTTGGATTCTGCACGTGGAAGCTCAGGGCAGGTATGCGGGAGCCAGAGGAAGGTGAGCAAGTGTGCAGGGGGAAGGGGCAAGAAGGAGGAAACCCCAGAGTCTAGAGGCTCGCTCAGCCCGGAGGGTGTCTGTGTGATGAACAGAGGAGGAGATGGGGCAGACACTTCTCTGGGAAGGGGGTTCCTTTTCCCAGTCCCTGGCTGGAGAAATGCAATAAGGGTCAGAGACCGCCCACCTCAGCTTTGGACGGTCCCTTTCTTTCACAGGGTTCGGCTTGAAAGGTAACTCTCTGGGTACCTGGTCGGATTCATGAAGTTGGTAGGCCTGGGGTTCCTGTGTGGGCCAGGGCTCAGGGGAGGGAGAAGCTCAGAGTGTCTCTCTCTAGGGACCAACATGCGTCATGTCTGATGCCCATCATGGCCGGAGATGGTGGGCTGTCTCCCTCCCATTTCATCCGTGAGGACCTTGTGCCTGAGCCGCAAGGGGAGGACAGCCCAGGGCTCTGTGTTCAGCTGGTGCAGGGCATATCAGGGCCTGGGTTTGAACTGGACAGCCTGGGCACAGGGTCCACAGCTCGTGTCGCCCAGGCAGCCCTCGACATGGAGTCTTTGGGAAGAGTGACACTGTCTGTGCCCACCAGGAGTGGGCCTAAGTGCTCCAAGCCCCCACCTCCCTGCTCCTTTAGCCTGGCAGGAGGATGGGCATGTCGCCAGAACCCTTACACACATGCCTCTCAGGGGAAAGGGCCCCAGATTCAGCCCAGCTTTCTTAGGCAAGGTCTAGGCCTGGTTCACTTCGGAGGCTTTGTGGCAGCCTGGATCCTGGCCCCATGTGCTCTGGGTGTACATGTGTGGTATTGGGGGGGAGCACCCACAGCCTTGCCCACCAGCCCTCTGTTCTCCTGATACATGGTCACTGGGGGCCAGCATCTCCCCTCTGGGGCTGCCCAGGCCCTGCAGGGCACTCTCAAGGAGGCCCCAGTCTCCTAGTCTCTCACACCTTTGTGGATCAAGGGTGTCCACTTACTGGAGCTTCCTCAGTGTCTCCCGGGTGAGGCCCAGCCAATCCCCTCAACTTGTATCCCCAGCTGCACCCTGGGGTCTGGCCTGGGAGAATGTAGAGAGAGGACAATGGCAGATGTCCCAGCCATTGGGGCTGACAGGCCTCCTGTCCTCTAGCCACTGGTTGAAAGGGAGAGAAATAAGATGTTCTCCCTGACATTCCCAGTACACTTCTTTTGGAGGCCTGGAGGCCTGGGTTAGGAGGGGCAGTTCGCTCTACTTCCTGGGGTGCAGCAAGAGATGAAAGGGTTCGGGATAATAACAATGCCAGTGATAATAACAGTAATATTAAATAATAATGACGTGTGATCTAAGGGGCTCACGCCATGGGCATGACACAGTGGACCACTCATGGGAGGAGGGCAGGGTCAGACATCCCTGTGCCAGCAGGACTGCCATTCAGCTCACGGGTATCCACAGCCTGACAATGGCCAGAATCTGGTCTTTGTAACAATTACCCTTGATGGGAATGATCCTACACGATCTCACTTTATTTCTCGTGTCCGTGTTGAGGGCCGACCATCACTCATCTTACAGGGGAAGAGATCAGCACCCAGAGACTGAGGTTATCAGGCTCAGGGCCAGGGGCTCCACTCTTCTTCCACACCATTCCAGAAAGGAGTCTCAGACAAACCCTAAAAACGGGAGAGTGATGGAGCCTGACAAGGCACCGAGAAGGCCCTGCCCACTTGGGCCCCCATCTGCTTCCTAGGCTCCAATGCCAGCCCCTGCTGTGACTGGCTGATGGCCACAGGCATTGCAAGGAGCCTTCCTGTGTGACCACCAGGTGACCACCCCCACCAGGTCACGTGTCTGGTGCTCACCACGCCCATCCCCCCAGTTCTCCTCAGACCCCATCCCTGAATCCCGTCCCCACACCAGCCTCTCCCCTGTTTGGTGTGGAGGCCCGCCCTCATACTGCAAGCCCCATGTCAGGGGCTCATCTGACAAGCCAGGACTAGGGTGATGTGAATGGAAGCCTAGGAGTCACTCACTCAGGGGCTGATGTGGCACTTGCACCAACCTGAGTGTGAGCACCTCCAGCAATCTGTGCCCCAGGGTGCCTCACTTGCCTCATTCTAGTCCTGGCCCTGCGACTGAGGCCCCTCTGGTCAGGGCCCAACAGGCAGACACTGATTCCCCACCCCCCAACTTCCCTCCTAGCAGCCTGGAGGCCCCGGCAGACCATGCAGCGAGGGTGAGGGCCCGTGGCCTGGCTGGAGCTCCCGGAGAGGCTCCTCACTGGGAGAAGGCTGAGGACACCATATTGTGAGAGATTTAAGGGACTGAGCAGCAGCTCCATAACGGGTCAATAAGGTGACACTCAACAAGGTAAAGTCTTGGCCAAAGGAGGAGGGCAGGACTCCCTCTGTAAGTCCCCATGGGTGGGTCCGACCTGGAGTCTGTGTGTGCGTGTAAACCTCCTAGGACACCCGCAGGCGGAATCAGAACCCATATAGTCCCCCAGGAGCCCCAGAGCCTGGGACCCATTTGTGCCCTCATATTACAGAGGGAGAAACTGAGGCATAGAACAATAGGGTTGCTCAGCATGAGACAGGGCCTGGATTCATCCCAGAT